GAGGATTCTTCTCAAATCACGCTTTATTGGAGCCTCTTGGTTGAAGGGAGAGCAGAAAGCAAGGGGCCCAGAGCTCTGAGCTGTAGCTGCTTATATAGGGAGTCTGCCTAGCAACCTCTGCTACTTTGATACTTTAACTGCTTTTCTGGAGACCCACCAGCTGGAAAGAAAGCAGGGGAACATCCCTGTCAATTATAGACCACAAGGAAGTTCCCCTGCCGGTCAGGGGAAGTGTGGGCAGCTAGATCACAACAACTCATCCTGTTTTCTAGTGGAAGAACTGCAACCATTATTATGGTATCAAGCGAGGCTGGGGCCAAATGCCATCTTGTAATGGCAGCCATTCAAATCGGCTCCCTGCACAAAATAATTATACAGAAACTGTATTCTTTTAAACACTGCCTGGCCCATTAGTTCCAGCCTCTTATTGGCCAACTCTCACAACTGGATTAACCCATTTCTAATAACCTGTGTAGCACCACGAGGTGGTAGCTTACCAGGAAAGATCTTAACCTGTGTCCATCTTGGAGAGGAGAGGCATGGTGACTGCCTGACTTGGCTTTTTTCTCCCAGAATTCTGTTCTGTCTACTCCACCCACCTAAGGGCTGGCCTATCTAAGGCCAAGCAGTTTTCTTTATTAATTAAACAATGAAAGGAACAGATAGATAGAAGACCCACCTCCATCACTCTAGGAACATGCCTGTCTGCATGGGTATCATGATGTCAGCTCTCAGGCACATACCAGACCTGTCTGCTTCCTGCCATGATGATAATAGACTAACTTCTGATACTGTAGGCAAGCCTCAAAAATGCTTTTTTTATAATAGTTGCCTTGGCTATGGTATCTCTTCTCTGGATATGGTAGAGCAATAGAACACTAAGAGAACTTCCACTTCCTGTGATCTAAAAGCTCAAAAGAACCTCCAGGGTCCTTCTTTCTTGCAGGTGTTTGAGCTCTTCTCTGGTTTCTTGAAGTACTTTCCTGGTGCCCACAAGTAAATCTTCAGAAAAGCACAAGAAATCCTTGATTACATAGGCCACAATGTGGAGAAACACCAGGCAACTTTGGACCCCAACAATCCAAGAGACTTCATTGATACCTACCTTATACGCATGGAGAAGGTAAGTCCTGCATGAATGAGAGGTGAAGGCTGAGGATGTGAGCTGGGGAAAAGGGGGTAGAGGATGGGGAGGAGAGACAGGAAATGGAGTGGAGGAGATGCAGAAGTTTCTGGAAAATGATGAAAATAAAAGGAAGAGAAAATGTGATAGGGAGAAAGAAGGGTTGGGAAGAAACAGGGCAAGGGACAAAAAGCAGGAAAGACTACAGAGGAAGAGAGAGCCTGGGAGACAAACCATTATAAACTACCAGACAGCACAGTAGATACAGAAGACAGAACAGACAGAGATCAAGTGATATTATTAAGGACTGAGAAATGTCATGTGATCCATATAATGTGAGACAGAAGGTCAGTTCCCAGGATGTGTGTGCATCTTCCTGCAAGGCTCCAGTCACCCCTGATCCTCCCTTCTCTCTCCCATCTGGAACCAGGAGAAGTCCAACCAACACACGGAGTTCCATCACCAGAACCTCATGATCTCCGTGCTGTCTCTCTTCTTTGCTGGCACCGAGACCAGCAGCACCACGCTCCGTTATGGCTTCCTTCTCATGCTCAAATATCCCCATGTTGCAGGTGAACCACAGATGGCCAGTTGGGTTATCTTCTAGCTCCCTATTGGCTGGGAATTTTGTGTGGATGAGAGAGCCATGGACCTCTTATATCTGGAGCGCTGAAGGCTTTGGTCTAATTCTAAACTAGGGCTGTGCTGTGGGTGGTGCATGAGTTAACAGTCAGTTGTCCTGTTTTCCATTGTTTTCACCTATCAATTAATGGTTGATCCACTCATCCTTCCTTCCTTCCATCCATCTATCCATCCATCCATCCATCCATCCATCCATCCATCCATCC